TCTGAGGATATTAATGTCTACCCCGCTCATAAAGTTGTAAGAAAAGTGAAGTAACGTAGATGAAGTTCCCTGAGGTCTTCAAAATTCTGCCTAACACCAAACTGTTAGTTGTCACTGAGGCCAGAGATGTTTTGTGAATGCAGTATGTCCCCCAGTAGGCAGTCCCACCCCCCACCCCACCCTAATCAGCCTTACAGTCCCAGCTGGCACCAGAATCACACCTTCAGAACTGGAGAGAAAGGCTGGCCCTCAGTCACACCAGCTGCATCTCAGGAATGTAGGCCTCCCTTCAACTAGACTTCTCCAGTGGAAAGCAGACTCTTCAGCCAGTGAAAGCTCTGTGTGACTCTGAGCACCCTTCCATTCTTGCCACTGAAGCTTTCTCATTTTCTGTTGTAACCTTGATGTTCTCCATTCAAGGACTCCTGCTCTCCTCGCCAGTGGCCATCTTCCCCTACCCATACTCTCCTCTTCCTTCCCTGCCACCTGCCGTCTCGCCAGGCTCCCAGCCTCAGTTGGCTGTCCCCTCACCAGACTCCCCTGAAGAGGAGGGTGTTATGCTAGAGCAGATGATAGAGAGGTCAAGAGAATGGGAGAGATGGGTGGGAATGGTGCTTCTAGAAAACATCCCGGTAACAGCATTCACTGTACCTTCTGCAAGCCAGTAGAAGCCTGGTAAGAATGAGAAAGAATCAGCCGAATAAATGGGTCCTTGCTAAGCCCCCACTACAGAAGTCACTATTCAGAATTGGGGTGTTGTTCTCGCTTCGGCAGCACATATACCAGAATTGGGGTGTCTTGGCCCAATTAGGTATCCTTTACTGGAACTTTGGGCAGACCCTCTGTATTTATTAACCTAGGAGTATCTCTCCTCCTCTTCTTCTTCTCCTTCTCCTTTTCCTTCTCCTTCTTCTTCTTTTTTTCCTGACTTGAAATCATGGTAGTGTCAGTGCTGGTCCACGAGAAGGAGTTTAAAAGAGGCCCTTTTAGAGAATAGCATCTCTGAAAAAAAAACTGAAGAAAAGTCTATGTGTCCACCTACTGTAGGAATTGTTTTTTTTTTATAAAATTTTTTTTATTATTTATTTATGATAGTCACAGAGAGAGAGAGAGAGAGAGAGGGAGGCAGAGACACAGGCAGAGGGAGAAGCAGGCTCCATGCACCGGGAGCCCGACGTGGGATTCGATCCCGGGTCTCCAGGATCGCGCCCTGGGCCAAAGTCAGGCGCCAAACCGCTGCGCCACCCAGGGATTCCCCTACTGTAGGAATTGTAAAGGACACTGCCCTCCCTGTGGTTTCTCCACGTTGGACAGTTTCTTGACCTCCAGAGTTCAGTTGTCACCTGCTCAGAACCCCTCTGTCAGTGCTAGGTGCTGATATTTTACTCATGGTGCCAATTCTTTGATTAGCAAATGTAACTGAGAGCAGACCATACCCTTAACTCTGAATTACATAGCTTCATTGATTATCTGAAAGTTTTTTGTTTGTTTTTTTAAAATCCTGAGTTGGCTTCCCCATGCAGTGCAAGTTATTTCTCAATTGGTTTCATTTATCATCAGTTCCTTTCTACTGAAAGAACAGTTGTTTTATTTCCCCCCTTAAAATAACCGCATACTCTGGCTAAGTGCTTTATCTCTTTAATTTTCAAAATACCTTCACAAGACAGGTATTTATTGTAGTACTCTCAAGTTACAGATAAGGAAACTGAGGCTTCTAGAGGTTAAGTAACATACTTAAGTCATTCAGCCAAGGAAATGGAATTCATATCTGACTCCCACATCTGGATAGCCCCAAATGGAGCATTTTAAAGTGAAGGGGCTTATATGAGCATCTCCCTCATGTTATAATTCCGGTGTCTGCTTTGGACTTCGTATCTCTTCCTAACACAGTGATGGATTTGCCATTCCTGGGTCTAGACTCAGACCTGAAAAGCCGTCCACTTCCACTCATCTTAACTCTTCATTTCTCCACATCGAGAGCAACAATTAGCAGACCTCATCTATTTCATGTATAATGTTGAAAGCCCTTTTGGGGTCCCTATAAGTAAAATGCAGGAGAACAACAAGAAAGAAAAATAGTAACATTTCTACAGAGTGCTATTATTTCAGATCCACACACATATATAAGTGAAAGTTGCAGCTGCCTGACTAATCTGAAAATAAGTCCCATTTAGTAAGACAGTTCTGAAATACCTCTGCTCTACCAACACGGCACCCTAATAATTATAGAGAGCATTTTCCTTTAAGGAGCTCCCAAGTGCTTTGCAAATGTTTTTCCTCATTAACTGTCATACCATTTTTTGTGGCAGGGAAGGGAACAGGATACCTTGTCCTATTTAAAATGTGGGACTGCTTATGCTGTGAATGATTGAAGCAGGTTGCCCTCAGGTCATGTGCTGACAAGGCCTAGACCAGAGTCCTCAGGGGTTGTGGGTCAGGATGGGCAGAAGGCCACTGAATCTGCAAAGGGCCATAGCAAGTGCTCCGTCCAGCTCCTCACTTTCCGAAAGGGAGACAAACCCAGGGAGACTTAAAAAGCCCAGGGTCACACAGATAATTAACAGCTGAGCCAATACTACGTGCATACAAACAACATACAGACGTATGCTATGAAGGGAAAGATAACAACTGTGAAGAATCAATTTATAGTCAGATTAGAAGGTTGTGAAAGCAAAAAACCTTCAGAGTGACCTTGCCTGGAGGAAAAACACACTGTAAGAAGGTGAAAGTTTCAAACAGCAAGAGCATTTTAACATAAAGTTTCAACTTCCTAGCAGCCAAAATACCATCTGGAACTTAAGAAGGCGAGCTTCCCATTAAAGGTGACGGGTGGCTGTGTTTTAAAAGTTAGTTGACCAGCCTATCACAGCCTCTAGAAAGTGTACTCATAGCACAAGGATGGCAAAGAACAGCTCGAGTTCAAGCATGTGTACAGCTGACAGAAATGTTCCAACTAAAAATAACATGCATGACTGTCTCAGGGAATCTCTCATTTCAAAAGAATGTACTTCCATCAACACCATGCGTAGCCTAAATGCGTCGTTTGGGAATGAGGCTTCCCCAAACTCCCCGCTTTGTCTAAAAGTGAACTTCTTCTCTTCTACCCCTGTGATCCTACTGACCATACTATCCTATCTCTGAAAATAAAGGGAAAGAAACCAGAGAAGAGCCGAGAGGAGAGGGAGTTAGGCCAAAATATTTGCAAATAACTAAGGGAAAAAGAGCTCGAAGACCAATGGCATTAGTTAAGAAATTTGTGGCGTGAGTCCTGAACAAATCAGCCATTTCTTACTATCATGTACTTCAAAACATATCCTTTTAGGTTTATAAACACAATTAAAAAGGTTTCTGATGAGATAAAGTTCCATGAAACAGATCATGGACATAAAGCGCTACACTGAGCCTGACACACTAAGCACCGAATATATGCCGATTGTTTTCACTGCTGTTATTACCGTGATGACTCAGACCTCTCCTGTTTCAGAATGGGAAACATGGGAACACAGTCAAGGCACATATTTTCATTGGAAGTTAAGTCCATTTTAAGAAATAGATTTCCTACCCTGATAGTCCACTAATTGAACAATGACCCTAGAGAGTTTCAAAGGCTTTGGGCTTTATGCTGGGTTATGGAAGGGTACGTAGAAGGACTTTCTTCTCCGAGGTGGGTGTCTCCACTAGGCAAATCAGTAATGAGGTGGGACAGATGGAAAGACCCTACCTAATGCACTTCATCTCACCTGTCAAGAGTAGAGCTGAGAACTAACAGCACCAACAAAAGCAAGGCTCTGCTTATCCAAAAACATGTCAGAGGCCCATGGACATGACTTATAGAGGAATACTTCATGTGGCCAGTTAGTAACAATATTTTTATTTACCTTAGTCTTTTCAACAAGCTTGATCGTTTGGTTTCTACGCCAACAGCAAACCAGAGCATTATACTGAGGAGAAAAGAAGGGTTTCGGCCAACAGCCTGAGAACAAAGAAAGAGAAAACTATTTTCTAAATTGACCCGAGAGTTCAGAAATGCGTATGGAACCATTTAATTGGGGCGGGGGGAGAGAATAGTTTTATAATAAGAATACCATGCAAGTATTCCCACACCACCCTTGGTGGTCTGCAAAGTGATTTCATATGTATTTATGTCAACACCAGCGCAGTGAGGTAAGTACGGCTGTATACCTCAGAGGCATCAGAGATTTGTCAGAGTGCCATGCCGAATGTTGGTGCCCAGATTTGGACAGGACCGTTGGACTCTGAGATCACTGTGTTGTCCACCACCTACCCTACCTCCACATCAGGCAAGACCCATTTGCAGCTCAGGGCAGTCAAGATGTAAATAGCCAATTAACTCTAATGCTACATTTCAGGAAGATTTTTGTGTAAAATAAATAAAGTCGAAAGTGTAGCTCATCAGAACAACTTGCTCCTACGTTGGCCAGTATTTTCCAGACCCATCAAGGCAAAATGCATTTCCTAGACAGAATACTGGAAATGGAAACTATCCCCGAAGAGCCAAGCTACGTAAACACTGTCTTTAGTTTCTAAAGATTGTAAAGAACGCCAATTCTTGGACGACCTTTCCCCTTCTCTTATTTCTTGCATGTGTTTGATCGAATTAATGGGAAACACTTAGTTAAATCCACACATTCACGAGGAGGCTGAAAATGACCCCCCTAAAAGTAGCCCTCCCTTTTCTCCACAGAATGACCTTTGAAAACCTTTGGTGGGGAATAGCTTGCGGTTTTCCAAGAGAGCCATTTTTTCTAGCATGGGGAGGTGGAAGGCCAGACTGTCCTGGCATCCCCTGAAAGCAAGGTTTCTCAGCACATGAGAAGCCAGGAAGGACTGGATCTTTCCACCCAAGGGTGAACCAATCGGATTTTTTTTTTAATTTTTCTGTTTTTGTTTTTTTGTTGTCTTCGTTTTTCTGTCTCTCATTCTCCCTCCCTTGCTGTGTCTCGCTCTGTTCTGCTTGCTGTCTCTCCCCACCTCAACAGGTGAGAAGCCCCACCAATGCAGCATCTGTTGGCGCTCCTTCTCCTTAAAAGATTACCTTATCAAGCACATGGTGACACACACAGGAGTGAGGGCATACCAGTGCAGTATCTGCAACAAGCGCTTCACCCAGAAGAGCTCCCTCAATGTGCACATGCGCCTCCACCGGGGGAGAAGTCCTACGAGTGCTACATCTGCAAAAAGAAGTTCTCCCACAAGACCCTCCTGGAGCGACACGTGGCCCTGCACAGTGCCAGCAACGGGACCCCTCCTGCGGGTACACCCCCAGGTGCCCGCGCTGGCCCCCCTGGGGTGGTGGCCTGCACGGAGGGGACCACTTACGTCTGCTCCGTCTGTCCAGCAAAGTTTGACCAAATCGAGCAGTTCAACGACCACATGAGGATGCATGTGTCTGACGGATAAGTAGTCTCTTTCTCTCTTTCTTATGAACAAAACCACAAAAAAGAAACAAACAAACAAACAAACAAAGCTATGGCACTAGAATTTAAGAAATGTTTTTGGTTTCGTTTTGACTTTCTGTTCTCGTTTTTGTTTCGTTTCATTTTGTACTACATGAAGAACTGTTTTTGCCTGCTGGTACATTACATTTCCGGAGGCTCGGGTGAATGATAGTTTTCCCAGCCTCCCTCGGATGGTGGCCTTAAGGCCTGGTAGTGCTTCAAGAGGTCCACTGGTTGGATCTCTAGCTACTGGCCTCTAAATACAACCCTTCTTTACAAAAAAAAAAAAAAAAAAAAAAAAAAAAAAATCTTTAAAAAAAAAAGTAAAAAAAAAAATTTTTTTTTCACTTGTGAAGAGCACTACAAAAATATATAACAAAATCTAAAAGGCCTACTGTCTTTAAGTACACCGCTTGCAGTGTTTCAGTGGACATTTTAACAATTCTGGCCGCTTGGACTTCACAGTAACCAGTTAAAACTGTGGAATATCACTTCTGGTCGAAAACCCAGAGGAAAGGCCCTGCTGTTTTCCACCTACCACATTGTCTGATTTCATAAAAGGGCTGGGGGGGTGGGAAGGGGCAGTGGGTTCGGTGGTGTGGGAAAGGCGAATGGCAGGCTTCTCCCCCAGATTCTGCTCGAGTCCACACACCCTGGCCCACCTCCTCCATATCCCCCCTTTCAGCAGAAGCCAGGAAGACTTGGACAAGCATCAAGCAACAGTGGCTATCGTATTTATTCAGTGTCTTCGCTGAGCCACAGCCTCAGCACAATCAAGAGGGACTTTCATGAAAGGCAGGAATGCAGATAAAACAAAGATATCAGAGGTTTGCACCTACGTTTCTAGGTACAAGAGAAGGATTCTTTCCAACAATCTTTGCAAAAAACAAAAACAAAAAAAAAAGTGTCAGGATATATTCTTGTGGAAGAGAAAAAGAAAGAGAAATGGAGGGTGGGGGGAATAATAAAAAGTTCTTGAGGCTTTTTTAATTCAAAATTTTATAGAGGGGCAAAAGTGACGTTTACCAGATAGAATGCTGATTTTTTTAATATATTTGCAACAGTATTTGTGTAAAAAAAAACAAAAAAAAGTGAGATTGTTAAAAGTAATTTTTTTTTCATTTTGGTTTTGCATACACTGCCACCAATCCCTTCTCTTTTATTTTATTTCACACACATATATATATTTTTTGGTAAGTCAAGACTGTTAAGGTTAGCGATACTGCTTCCAGATAGAAAGAATAAAAGGCAATTAAAGTTATATTTGAAAGAGAGGAAGGATATTTTCTTCATATTTTTTTTAATTTTTCTTAATTTTTATTATTTTTAAGTATTGCCTGGGTTGATGAGGGCCTCTGTGGCCAGCCCATCCCTGCTGTAATTTGAACTGCTGCTTTGTATTTTGATATGTAGTTCTTTGACTTTTAGCAAGCTTAAGTTGCTCCACTGACTATTTTTTTCAACTGATCCATCTAGAATTCTGTTCTTTTTCATGGGAGGACTTTATCTTTCAGAAACAGATTTCTTGCTTCTCTAAAAAGTTCATTGAGATCTTATGATTCTAGAATTTCTATTGCCTTTACTTCTTTTCTTTAATGAAACACTAGTAGTCTAGAGGTCGTGACAAATGGGTTTTCTTTTTGTGGTCAGCCAGGAGGAGGAGTTCATGCCTCCTCACCCTTCACAACTACAGAGAGCAGAAGCCTGGTACAGATCTGGAGGGCTTGATGCCAAAATTACTTTCTTCCTTCCAAATACCACCTTCTGACTATTTCCACCATGGTTGAGAGGGCTAAATAAGATGAGCGTCCTTTAGATGATTTATTAACCCTTGCTTTTTGGAACGGTTTTAAGGAAATTAACAAAAATTTCTCAGATACCACCATCCATCATTCAAAAGGCCACCAGTTTGTTGCATCATCCTAGATGCCACTCTCTCTTCCTAGTTGGGATTTCTCTCCTCGGTCCTGATCAAAGTATTGAAATAGGGATTTTTCCATTATAGACAGTGTCCTGAAGGGATTCCAAGTCAAATATAAAAATTCTTAAGCCTAACAAAGACTCCAAAGGTGATTTTCTTGCTGGGCATATTTTAACACTCTTAAGGGGGAAAACTAAATCTTTAAACAAAGCAGAAACACCAAACTATAATTTTTAAAAAGAAACAAAGACAGTATTTTAGTTTCAAAATTTCTTTGCATTTTAATTTTCTTGTCAGCAACGTATTTGCAAAAACTGTGCAACAAATGAGGAGAAATCTTCCAAGGAAAGCAACTCTATAGTAACTAAATGGTTTTACTCATATATTTTAGATATCGGTTAACTTGGATCTTTCCCATAAGTTCTTGGTGATGTTTAGTAGGGTTAGTGCAACTGGAGTACATGTGGGTTTTATTTGGTCCTCTGTCCTTAATTCAGTAAATATTTTCCTGGAAGTTTAATGTAGACTTGGATGGTTAACTGACTATTGGTTAACACTCATCGTGATTTCTAAGAGGAATCCTATCAAGAACTATGTGTCCAAAATTGACCTGTTTTAAAAGTTAGTGGGAAACAGCTTCAAAACTAAGAAAAAGTCCATTTTTCTCTTGCTAATTTTCCTTTTTTAAAATAGCAGTGTTGTAAGACTTTAATATTTCCACTTACTACCAACAGAGGGAGCATTAGTTAGTTAACCATGTCAGGGAATTGTTTTGATATCTTGAAAAACAAGTCATTCAAACCATGATATAAAAAGGAAAAAATTGACATTAAGTAACCAACTTGTCTAATCTAGAGGGAAAATGATATTAAATCACTTAGTATATGTTACAAATGATGAAGGCCAAAAGCCACTTTAAAATATTTTCACTTATTTGACAGCAGCTGATTTAAGATAGGGTCCTTATTCCAACCTTTGCGAAATAGGCAGGATTTACAGTACCTCTAGAAAAGTTGATCGTGGGTGCCATTATTGGCCACATTTAGCTGTCTGCTTCTCAATTCAGACGGAGACCCACTTGCCTTAATGTTGATTTGCCACGTGAGAAGCAAAGCAAATTGGGTTCAAATAAAATCCACATTTTGATACAGACATGTAGAGGAAAAAAAAATCCAGTTGGGTTTGAAACGCTAATATTCATCCTTTCCCTTCAAATGAAGTATCTCTTTTCTAAAAATGTTGAAGAACTCACAGAGAACTCTTGGTGAGGTGATGCAATCATTATAACCACATGGACTCTCCAGGTTTGCATAGTGGTAGACTTCTTCTTACCGTATGTCTATTCCTCCCAAACATTCATAGTCTAAAATAGTTGACAGATTTGTTCTCCGGAGAGAGGGAGAAGCTAGACTGCAGTGGAAGGTCTAATCTGGGGAGCAGTGAACTTGCTGTGGGGTCATTACTATATGCTCTAACCTTCTGAAAGGGCTACTTGCCCAACTGATGTAAGCCAGACTGTACCTATTTCAAAAGGATAGAGATGCTTTCTGATTGCCAGTCCTTACTTTTCAATTAAATAATTACCAACATCTTGGGAAATGGGAAAACATATTTTGCTTCAAGAATAGAGGATGAGCATGAATCCTTTTATTTTTTAGTTTCAAATCCAACAATCTTCTTACATTTAGAACTTCATGCTAGGATGCTATGAGTGCTAAAAAAAATTTTTTTTCAGTAGTCAGGGGAAAAAATAGATAAAATGGAAGCAAATGTTCCAGATTTAAGACCTCTTAGGAGGAATACAGGGAACAAGAACTGGTTTGGAAAAGCACATTTTTTTTAGTAATTTATGATTTAAAACTGGGTTAGCTGAACAAGGGAAGGGAAAAAAGTCAAAGGGGAATATTTATCTCGAGACATTTAGATACAGTTTATGAAAAATAAAATTGCCCTGCACTGAAAACATTGGTAGCATCTCAGTATGGTAGGCGACTTTCCCCTTATTACTATAATAAATGCCAATATTTGTACTAAAAAAAACCCAAGTGGTAAAATATGGCCCCCAAAAAGGAAGGAATTGAAACAGATGGATCTGATACAAATCTACACACATGGGGAAAGATTAAGAAACAAGCCAGGCAAAAATAATTTGAAATGAAAGTCTCTGTACCAAAATGGTTTTTACTATATATTTTAATGGAGTTGTAAACTTCGGCTCCTAATAATAGTTTATAGACTTTTTCCTGCCCAAATTCCTAATGCTCTGAAACTGTCTATGCCATGAGTAAGTGTGGTAGATAACTTCCTTCTCATGTTCCAGCTTTAGTCCAATCCTTCTTCATAGGCATCTTGGAGGTCGCAATAGCTCCCAGCCTTAGAAGGAAAGACGTGGATGTGCTTTGTTGAAAAATCATGGGTTTCATTTTATATCATCCCAATATTCTACAAGGACCAAGAAAACCCTTTGTAACCCATGAACAGTTAGAATGTATGCACTCTGTTAGAAGAAAAAAGGTTTCCTCTGGGTGTATGAATTACTTTCAAGTAAGCCCGAATGCCTTGACCTACATGTCCCTCCATCACACAAGCACACCAATAGTATGCGCCAGCCCATGCCCCAAATCCGTTTTCCCTCAGCAGTTGAAAATGAGGTGTGTCCCTTATAAAGTCCCTCGGGTCCTCAACAGAACATAATAAAAGGTTCGTGTTGCTTCCTAGATGTGCTTCCTCCATAACACTCCCAACACCTGTTGCCTTTAGGAAAGGGAGCAGTGAGCTAGATCTGGCCAAGATTCATACTCAACCTGCCCATTCAGGAGCCTTCCTCTGTTGTTATAGAAGATGTTATTTAATTAGCTGAGGCTGGGAGCAGAGGATATGTGATTCTGCAGCAAAGGTATCAGATAACCAAATCAGGTCTGCCTCTGCTAGGCAGAAAGAAACAAAACGAAGGTACAATGCAAGAACAGACACAACCTGAGATGCCCTTGGGATTTGGGAGAAGGGAGGGTGCCCTTTCTGTTGTGACCTGACTCTTAAAAGAAATCTTCTGAAAGAATTCTTTAATTTAGTAATGAGTTGAAGTCCAGGGTAATGGAAGCCCTGGGGAAGAGAACAAAAGGACTGCAAAGTGTATTCAGCACCCAATAATGCGAAACCAAAAAACATCCAATCACAACACTAGGAAGTTTGGCAAGAAGTATTTAGAGAAATCTCTGGGCTTTTCCATGGGTAGTAGGGTCGACAGACTTTCTTTTGAGTGATTTCTGGCTCTGAGAAACCTCTTTACTCACTAGAAAAGAACTTTCTTTAAATGGCCAATTTTATCCCCCAGAAAAAGAAATTTAAAAAAATAAAATAAAAATAGAACACTAAAGACAGAACCATGTGACCTGGTAGCAAACAAAAGGAAGGGCCCACTAGAATTTCAATAGGCTCCCTAATTCCTTAGAAAAAAGCAAGGCAACCCAACGCCTCTCCATCTGCAGTGCTTGAAGAAAGGGTCGCCTTGGCCCAGCCACCTGGGCTTGCTGGGACTCTGGGCAGGACTGCCCCACTGGGGTGGCTGCAGCCCCTTCCTCTTCACCTTGACATGAAGGAAAGAACTGTTCTCTTAGGTGCCTGGGAAATAGATTTGCCTGGGCCAAACTCTCAAAAACTATCTCCGCCCTGGTGCTCAGGCAGCACATGGAGACAGAGGGGGGCCACAGAGGAGCTCTTGCTCCAGGGAGAATATTCTCGGATTCCCAAGGGCTCTCTGTGTGGAGTTGCCATTTCTAATACCACTTAAATCGCCACAAGAGGAAAAGCCGTGGTGACTCAATGTTGGTATAAACACAAAACGTGAAAATTGCTAACCCAGAGCATCATTTCTAGCAAGAGGGATTAAGGTGATTAGCTTAACCAAAGTTCCCCAAAGATGTTTCTAAGTCTCCAAACAATCTTTTTTCCCCCTTGAACACTGAATCCACAGTGGTCAGCGGTGTACATTCACAGATCCCAGAAAATGGTTTGGAACACCAGGGTTTGTTTTCAGTTCTTTTTAGGTTGAAGAAGTAGAAGGTGAGGGCTGCATAGCACGGGTTCTTTTTCAGAACTAGGGATTCCACTGAAAAACTGCTAAAAATGCCCCGGGGTTGAAGCAACCAACTACAACCCCTGGATTCCAGTGGTTTCTCAGGGCCAGCCTATTGCTCCACAAACTAAACAGATTAAAATCTAATCTGAAGCGACCTCAGTTGAGGTATTTTCACCAGAAGCCACTTATAGTAAAGAATTATTGCCTTAAGTCAGAAAGCCCAGGGAAGAGAACAGAGGACAGAGAGGTTGAAAGGAAGTGAAGACATAGACATTTCTTGTTTTTAATTCTGCTTCGTTATCAAAATGGGCCCTCTTCATGAGTGAAGACTATGGAAACATTGGCTTTGCAGGGATGTGTCAAACTTGTCTGGGACTGACAGTTCTCAGGAAGTGGTTGCTCTTTTTTATATCCTCTTTCAGTGACTTAGGTCTGGGCTGGCTGTAAAATAGGCATCATATTAGTCAAAGAATAAATCCCATAAGACATGATCACAGGTGCCAAGGATGCCAGTTTTAATCATTTCCTTCACAGAGAGAACAGTCTGTACTAAAAGCTTTCATTCCCTATACAGTATAAATTTCTAAACTCGGTTTTCCTCGGTTTTAGTGAGCATCTGGTTTATCTGGTGGTACTTTGTTTAAATGCAAACTCACAACTTTCAAATCTTCAAGGAGGGAGCATAATCTTCAGTTCATAGAGGAAATCTAGCCACACTTGTGGGAGTCCTGGCTTTTGAGATACCTAATTAGGGTATAAAAAGTTCCTACCAGCCGTCTTTCAAATTCAGGGGTTTCCTTGGTTCAAATGCCTCAATGAGATTCTGATAGACCTAAGATAGAAAAACAAAAACAAAAACAAATTTGACCCCACAGGAGACATCTGTTTCTACTACTGTCACAACAGTCACAGCTGCTGTCCAAAATGTCTATAAATGAGTACATGTCATGCAGGTACACACGCAGTGTGAGGTCCTCTCACTGCAGAACTGTTGCATGTCCGTATTCCCCAGTGGTAGATTCTGGAACTTCTAGTTAGTCAAAGGTCTCACATATCTCCTGCCTGCTTCTGCTCTGTTGCCTTAGTTGGGTGCACCAGTGCCGTCCGCTATCTGTGATGAGGTTCTAGGGCATTCTGAAGGAGCCCCACCATCAGTAATTTTCTATTGTACCAGTTTCATGAGAAACTTAAATCTGCTGCGTGGAGTAGAGTGCACTTAGCAAACTCTGCACATCCGCTGGATTTACCGACATGTGCACGGGCACGTTTGCGTGGATACTTGTAGTGTGCGTGCCTCTCAGAAAGCACACGTGGGCATAGGTCCTGGTGCCTGTTACGGTTGCCTCTTCCCACCATTGCGCTCCAGACTTGTGGCTCCCTGCCCAGGAAGCAGTCACCTGCCCACTCTGTTGCTTTTCGTAGCGTGTCCTAGTTGGGAGAAACAAAGGCAGCTTGTTGGATCCACAGCAAACCTACGGTGACAGGCTGTTTTCCTCCAGAAGAAGGTAGAACAGAAGTAGTCAAGTGGCGAGCAGACACAGAGAGAGGCAGTCCGGGCACCCCTCCGGGTCTTCTGGGGAGGAGGAGCACCGAGGCCAGGGAGGGGAGGCCTAGTCCATGGCTCAAAGGCCTTCAGTGCTTTCCTCCACGCAGCCCAGTGTGTGCACCCAAACACCTGCTCCCCTGTAACTTTCACTGCCAAACCAGAGTTTCCCCATCCTGCCTGCATCTGCAGGACATCATCAGAATTCCAAACCGTGTCTCCTGAAGCCACCGTGGCCTCCGCAAAGTCTTTCCAAGAGCAGGTTGTTTACCGTGTCTAGCAAGCCGGTAGACTCCCGGGGGAATCATGTTTGGTAATCTCTAAGAATCGACAGCTCCGGCCCATCTCCGACGTGAAAGTAGAAGGCCACATGCACTCTCGTGCACGATTCTGAACAAATGGACCTGGCTCTCGTAGCTGACCTTGAAGATTGGCCTGGAAACAGTCGGATTCAGTTTGCTCACCCCCACACCCTTCTTTCACTAGGTGGCTTATTATTTTTTGTGACATGTAGATTATTTCTGCTGATTTACAGAATTCAGAGGACATTTTCTTGCCTCTTCTATTTTGGTGACTTTTTCCCCTACCCCATTAAGTAAGGCTACTTACAGTTAGAATCTTTTCATTGTTGTTATTTTTAAAAATGTATATTGTCTTTCTATATCCAAAAGAAGTCTGTGACTGTAACCATAGGTATTTCTTTTTACTGGAAAAAAGAGTTGGGGTTTTTTTTTGGTTTTTTTTTTTTGGTTTGTTTTTGTTTTTGTTTTTTTTAATTAACAGTACTAGTGACTTTGTGGAAGAACATGAGTTACATTTAGGTATGCTTAAGTACAGTACACTACATTGCAGTATTTCTGAAAGCTAGAACATACACATTATATATAACTCTATATTGAAATATATATTACATTATATTCATTTTAACTTTTGAATCTGCCTATGATCATGAGTTGATTGAAATATTATTTCTTTGCATTTATCACCCATCACCATCCTGCTGCAGTTAATCTGGTGCATTTAATAATAATCATTACTGCTCTAGTTCGCTTTTTATATTATCAGCTTCAGTATTGTCTTTACAGGATTTTAGGATTTTTTTAAGCTCAGACTTAGCAAATGTAGGAAAGTGAAAACTTTTTTTAAGAAAACTTTTTTTTTTTTCGGTGTGGCCGATACAAAGAGGTTCGTATTCAAAGTGATCTTGTTTAGCTGACCCGCTCAATATCTGAAGAACAAAAGAAGTGCATATGAATGTATCTGTGATTTTTCCCTTTTAGGACTGTCACTGTCTATATTTGCTTTTGAAAACATGACCAAAAGGGGCTGCTTCACCCCCATAGATCTGACCAACAATTGCAGGCTGCCATTCGAAGGGCTGCTCTTCTGAAAAGCTTAAGGGAATGAAATGACTAAGCTGTCCCAACTGGATTTTCAGACGTTGATTTTAATACTGCTTCTTTGCAGACTACTTTCTGTTTTCAGCATGCTTTACGATGATTTTTAACTAGTCTTCAATGCTTCCCTGGAGGCAGCTTGGCAATATAACATTCATTTTCCTAGGAGATTTTCTTTCTTAAATAAAGCCAGAATTTGAGGAAATCTTTCATGTCAGAGGCTGAGAGAAATAGAACCGAGAAATAGAGATCTCATTTTTTTTCCATCCGCAGAATTCATAAAATGGTGGCTCTTGGGGTCTCTGGCCTCCCGTATCTCCATTTGTCTGTGAAGGTGGGGATCTGGTGCCAGGCCATCATGGAAGCTTTCAGAAATCAGGCATCCTGTCTTCCTAGCAAGAAATATTTTCAAGTAGTATTTTCAGATAAAGAGCTTCTTCTCCTTCCCTTAGCTACTCAACCCAATGCCTGGAATCTCCGCAGTTGGATAAACTTTACACCCATCCCAGAGACCTAAAATCAGATTCGTTCTCTCGGTTCTTCATTCAGGGCAAAATGGAAACAGTGGTTTATAATAGTGTGAAAGCCCTTCCCACATTGGACCAATATTAAGGCCTCTCAGCATGAGTAACAAACACCAACTCCTTCCTTTCTTCTCTCCTAGTAGATTTTTATTTCCAAATCCCATCCCATTCTGCTGTGCCCGCCCTCCAACCACTGGCGGCAACAAATCTTTCCTCCCCTTATGCAAGCCCCCAGAGGTGCCCTCCACTTGTAAAGCCTCGTAGGCCTACCCCAAGCCTACTTTGAAGAGGTTACCATTGAGTCTGGTAGCAAAATTCTGAGTCTGTTTCTCCACAGTTTTCAACTAAAAATATTTCTACAGGACAGACATAATTGTGAATTGGGATTCACTGAGCCTGTTGCTTTCCCAGTGACCTTGGAATACCCAAATCGTATCAGTTTAATTATTTTCCTCTTTCCTCTTCCTAACTATGTTCCTTTATTTCTTGTTTCTCTTCAGGACTCTTTAAATTACTGTTTCTCCTCCTCACCACCTGAAGAACTTGAACAGTTATGACCCCTGAGCACTCATTTCCCTCCCTCTCCCACCCGTCCTGAATGTCCTTCTCTAACTTTTGTGCAGTTAAAGAGCATTGACAGGAGTCAGCTCATCAATTTGAGACTCGTAGGCAGAGCGAAGAAGCATGTCTTCACTGTACCTTCAAATTTTAAAAGTTATCAATATTCTTTTGAGAGTGGGAGGACCTGAGTCACAGTTTTAAATGTCAGCTGAGCTAGTGAGGTCATTAATTCCTTTCACCTTCACATTTGGCCAAAGGTAAAGAGGAGAAAATATTTTCTGAGGTTTTTTTTTTTTCTTTAAATATCAGAGTGTTCAAATTCCTGATATGAAGAGACCATTTCTGAGAGGGGAAAAAAATGTTATCAATGTTGACTGTCTCAAGTCCTGCTGATATTTAGCCAAATGGCATATTTACCACATACTAGATTTACAGAAATCTAACAGAAGAGGTACCATTTTAAAATAATTTTGATAACTGCTCGAGCCTTAGTGAACTCTCTTAAAACAATCAAAGCCACTTCTGCTAAAGTAGGAAGAAACAACTAGGAAGAATTTTTTCGTATGTCATCTTTCTGAAAAACAAATAATTGTTGATTGATTTAGAACTTTAAGCGGTGATCTGTTGAGGGATGGAAAGATGCATAAAGTGTCTAAAGTATCTATCTCACAAGCAGTTGTTTTTTAAATGTAAACCATGTGTGTATATAAAATAGGGCTGACCGGATACTTGAAGGGCCATGTAATACACTCCCCAGTACCTAAACATTCAACATGTAATTTAGTTATCATGCTAGATCTCATTTCAATGAGTTACAACTGCCTTGTTGCCAAAATGTTGCCCCAAAACTGATACCATTCTGGATCTATCCCTTTACAGGTTGTTCATAATGTAATACGTTCTTTCCTGACTTCCAGTCCAACATTCTTGCTGTGCTCCTACATTGCCTCTTGGCTCCCATGAAGACAAATTCTGTGGCATTTAGAGTATTAACTGGTTCTGAATGCCCAGAAGAAGGACGCTATCTCATTTCTTGCTTTACTCACTGGCAAACAGAATCAACATTTAGTATGAGAAATGCATTCCTGATGTGACCAGAGGCCTGACCCATCTCCTACCTTAATTAAACCAGTTTATAACATCAACTCACACCACAGAAAGCAATGAAATAAGAGATAGTTCAAACCCTTCCTGGATTATATTATACATCTAGTAGGAAATCAACATTTCTTAAAGCCAGTATTTATGTTGCCTAGGATGGTGAGCTTCACTTGGCATAGTTTCCCAGTCAATCCCATCTTCCCTTCCTTTGTCTGTTCTCCCTCTATCTTTTTTGTAAAAGTGCTCTTTATCTAAAGTACTCTTCTCCTCAGGCTTTGGCTTCTGAAACAGGAGAAGACTCTTTTAAATCCTAATTACTATTGTCTAAAGGATAGTGTAGAGTAGGAGAGGATCTAGTTCTGACAGGTCCCATTTGGTCCAGTCAATCACAGGGATTCCTCAGGATGCCTTCTTGATATTATTCCTTCTGGTTTCCTGAGAAGAGCTCTAACCCTGAGATGAGGATTTCTCACCGCAACCTCTGCATTAGTCTGGAATTATGTGCAAATCCCGGTAATATTCTAGAGACTCCAGGGTGTGAATTTCTTATTGCTCATGAGCCTCCTGCTTTTCTAAACTGACACCAAGAGCCCCACCAGTAACTAATGCAGCAAAATGATGGTCAGAAACATTATAGTATGTAATAGGGAGGATGGCAAGAGATTTGTTTCTTCTTTTCTCCCATAAAAAGCTTGCTTCCCCACCCCACCCCACCCCACCACCACCACCATGCGTTTCAGAAAGTCTGCATCTCATTTTACAGATATGTAGTTTTAGGATTTGCAAATATAGCTTAGGAAATGTTCTGAGATTGAAGCTGGTGGCAAACCAGTTTATTTTCTGCACTGGACTTTAGGACAAGTGTGCACAGATACAATTCCTTCAAAGAAAGTGAAACTAATATAGTAAAGCAAAGGGATAATACTTTTACACATTAAAACAGTTGTTTGCTATCTGTAAACCTTGATTTAAGCATAATTATTATTTTTAGAAACCTGAAACTGGAGGAATGTGTATTTTAGTAAAGTTTGTTTGTCGATTTGTTTGTTTCCCTTTATCTCTTTCTTCTCAAGATAGTAAAAGATTTGGATTCTTTAATTTGATACTGTCCCTGGCCATAGGTATCAGTCAAATAATGCCTGCCCTGACCATACTCTTTTCCTTTTAAAGTAAGAGCCTTCCTGCCTGCCATTAAGGAGCCTTTTCTCCTTGAAAATCTTATCTTCCTTTTCAATTAGTATGTGAGAGCTTTGAGGAGAAAATCTCTCCCTGCACTTTGAGAGTAGAATAGTTAAAAACTGTTTCTTGAGAGAAACCCCATTTAGCTAAACTAACAAGTCTGAGGCCAAAGAATGGGAATTGATTGCAGATGAAGGTCATGTATTTTACACTACAAATCTTTATTGCCTCTTCCAATTTTTGGAATGAGGCTGAGAATAAATTAATTTCATGAAAATCTGCTTTGGATGTTTCTTATTAATAACTAATGCAAAATACCCAGAAAAGACAAAGAAAGATGTTACTAAATGCAAAGTCAATCTATAGATTTTTATAATTATTCAGATTTCTTTTCTACTCATTTTCAAAAATATGTGTCCATGAGATCTTAAGTAGAGAAACATCTGCTTTTCCATTGCTTCTCATCTCCCCCACCTAGCACTGGAGATGAGAGTCACAGAGGGAGACCGGCAATGCATTGCCAGTCCTACACCCATTTGTACCACCCCACCACCACCACTACCACAAAATAAGGAAAAACTAAATTAGAAACTTTTTTTTTGAAAAAAGGGAAATTGTAGTGCTTCATTTGAAAGCATACAGTTTTTAACTCAATTCAATTTACAGATAGCCTGACAACCTTTTTATAACCTGTCTTTTGTGCTATAATTTGCATTTTTAACTCAATCTTTAAAATAATTGCCATTTCAATTAAGTGAACAGAGGAAAAGCAAAGAGGGGAGACAGGGCAATGTGATGGGGCTAAATCTGATACAGTTTTGGATTCATAAAGCCAGTTCTCAGAGTTACCAGAGAAAGCTAATACCACTCACCCTTTGCCATTCTTGCCCATCCTTACTATTCTAGTCTTAAGAATTGGGCAGGAAACCTCACTTCTTTAGGATTTAAGACTTTTCTTATTTCTGTCAAACCCATTCAGAGAAATCATACAAACCCTTGACTGCTCCTATACCTAATCTGCTCTCCTGGGCATATGCAGAGAGATATCTGAAAAAAAAAAGTGATGGTTCAAATTTGGTACAAGATTTAGACATAGTCTAAAGTACTTTGTGTACCTTCGCTGCCAAGAGGTTCTTTGACAAATAAGGCTAGTTTCTCTGCTTCCTACTCTCCCTGGGACAAATTTGATTTGGAACCATCTGTATGAAGATTTGTAGGAAAAAATTCTCAAAAGCACTGTCAACAGTTAAACTCCTTCCTTAGTTCCAATGATTTGAACCTCAGTTTTCCTGGGAGGGGCCTATTAATATAGACATTAAGGGTAACTTTCATATATTGAATTAAAATTGTTTTTTTGCCCCCTGTTGAAAGAATTGTGGTTTTCAGAGAAAAAAAAATGAAAGCAGGATTTCTTAGTAATCGTCCGCGTGGCAAAACAAAGACAAGAAGTTGATAGGGTAGAGAAAATCTATGGTAACTTTATGTCTTAAAGTAATTTGACTATACTGGCCCCACTATGCCAAATGCCTTTGTTTCCACAATGTATTCAATACTACGTCTTGATTCTCCTGAGACTTCCAGCATGCATGTGTGGGTAGGAGCAGACAAGCAGATTTACATTTGGAGAATGGAGACCCAGACATACCAAAAAAATCCACTCTTAGAGGAGTATCAAATACAAAATATTTCCCCAGAATCACTCAGCACTGCGGTATCCCAAACCAATTCCAGATTGATCGTAAGCGAGAAGTAAGCTCCCTAAGATATCCTACTATGAATGTTTTTTTCTTACAGAATAATACAAGAAGAGGTACAATGCAGATTCTTAATTTGGGTGTAATTATAATTCACTTTTATATTTAATAGCTGTACTTTTGTGTGAGTGTGTCATTGAGCTATTCGTACCAGTTTTCAATCTATCATCCTGAGAGGGGCCTCGAAAATTTCTGCTTATGTGTATGTAGATCTGTATTTCTGTGTAGTCAGAAAACAAAGCAAACAGGGGAGGAACGAGAGGAGGGAGTAGGCAGTCAATGTGAAGAAATGAGTGCTCCTAGCGTCCCTATTTATGTTAGGTAAGGTGGCTGCTGCCAGAAGCCCTCCGGGAAGAGTTGATTGCACTATTCTAAAATAAGAGCCCAGCACTGTTCAATTTAGAACCATGTTTTGGGAAACAGGAAAGTTTTATCTTTTTCTGTACCCATTCTCTTTAGCATCAGAGCCATTTGACGTGATGAAAACCATTCAGTAAAAACCACTACTGACCTTTGCATTAAATAGCTATTTTCCTCTTCTAAATACTACCCCTGGTTTCAACTCATCTACTTCCCTTTATTCTCTGCCTATTGATTTAACATTTTACAGAATAATACATAGGCGCATGCTACTTGTTTCTCTCTTTGGAGCTGAAACAAACAGGGGCAACAAGAGATGACTCACAGAAGTGTGAGGTAAAGACTGAACTTCCCACTTGTGTGGCACTGGTAACCTTTACTAACAACTGTTTAGGGTTGAGCTTGGGTCTATAATAGGGCTTTTTTTTTTCTTTTGGTTTTTGTTGGGGGATAATTTTTTTGTTTTGAGGTTTGTTTGTTTTTTTTTTGTTTTGTTTTTTTTGTTTTTTTTTTTTTTTTTTTTGCACTAAATATGACTGCACTGCATTGCACTACTGAAATGTATTTACTTGTGCTGGGAGAGAGTGTGTGAGGTATGGGAAGAAAGAGGCAGTTATGAAACAGGAAGCATCACAAAATGGAGAATTCTTTCCATCGTGCTTGGTCTTAGCAGGGTTGGTGAGAATCTGTGAATCTACTAACTCTTGATCAGGCCCAGAAACTGCCATGCTGATAGGATTTGTTGTCTTATTATAAAGAAGCAGGGCTAGTACAGTAAATTGAAGATGTTCAAGGAAAAGTTTGCCCAATGTTGTCTCCAACCAAGCTTTCATTAAGAGTTGCAATGGTAAGGGAGCCAGCTGAGGTGAGGTTGAAGTCTTCACCTTGGCCTCACCACAAATCCCCTTGATGACGCACATTCCAGTGTGGCAGAGGGCAGTGGCATTTCCTACATTCAAGAAAAAAAAACAAGAACAAAACAAAACCTAGCCTTGTGTGTATAGGAGATATCCATTCAGCCTGAGCATGCTTTTCCATCCCTGGGTGAGACCTAGGTCAGGCTAACCAAAGAGGAAGGCCATGCACGTGGAAAAATCCTTTAAGATGGCAGTAAGGGAACAGTGCAATAAACACTGAAAACCAGTGAGGTGAAATGTTTATTTTGAAACAAGTTAGACCAACATTGAAATTGAAGGAAGGGTTGGAGAAGTGATCAGAACCTACTTACTAGCTGCTCCATCATAGACTATCCTTTATTAAGCAGAAGACCTTAACAGTGCCTAAAAGTTTAGTTTTGAAGTTGCTGAATCTTTTCCATTTTTTTATTGGGTTTATTTTTATTGCCTTTTTAAGCCTGAGAAGTAATTAGCATGTGACAGCTCTTCAGTGACTATTCGTAAAAGAATCTTGCACCACAGGAAAACAATCGATTCTGTAAGGGAAGTAGATTCTGTAGGGCACAAGAGTGAAGATGCTTGAAGAGCTCTTCCAGAATCCAAGGTGACAGCTTTGAAGATTCTGGTTCCGTAGGGAAGGGTCACAACACATATAAATGGCTAATGTTGAATTTTTCTGAACACTATCACATGTGGGGACATCAATTTGGAAAACTGTCAGTTGAGGTCTCTTTCCTAAGATTACAACATTGCTACCTATCTCTCCCTTGCTCTCCTCCTTAGCATCCATCCAAGTCTACTATTAGAAGGGAAAAAAATTGTAAGAGAACTGTCAGCCTTACGAGTTAGGAAAAAACACCACCCCAGGGCTTTCAGAACTAAAGGAAGCAATCCCTTAAGCACTCAAAGCATTATCTCAGTTTTAAATAGGAACCTCTAATTCAGAGCTCTTCACAGGTACTTAGAGATGTGTATTGCGTAAGCACTAAGACGGTATTGACTGCACCAAACCAAAGGTATAGAAAGAAATAATTGACCTTTTAAAATACACTCACATTAACTGTCCTAGTATACTTCTCTTGAGGCTTTGCGGAAACAACTTCTCTTGTGAAACTTGCATACCCACTCCAGTTTTGTCACCAAAGATTTTAATCACCAGAGCCTGATCTCCTCTCTCCCACACAAAAATAATATGACAGGCTCGGCGGGTATGCTTTGGTGGTCAAAGGAGGACACTTTGGTTTTCATTCTGTTCACGGTGATATTTACAGGGAACTCATTATTAGAGGAGCTACTGAACTGTCTTTGTGACTTAGGGTTTAGTCAAAGGTTTAAAAAAAGTAGGGGGAAAAATACAATTGTACTTTGACACTGAAAACTGGTCTTTAATAGAGTCATGACCTGAAGACTGATGGAGAGAAAGAAACTTCCATGGAAGAGAGTGAGCTAAATCACATAGAACCAAACAAGGTCATTGGTGAAATGTGGGGCAGTGTAGACAACAGAGCAGATCGCTGCTCTTTGTGGCCAGAGCCAACAACAACGGCCAGAGGCAGAGTCAGATAACCGGCAAGTGAATTCAAGTACTGAAAAAGCCATGATCTGGGTTTCACTGTGGTTGCTGGAGTGGTTAAAATGCCCATGCCCATGGCAAGGACAGTGCTGAGGCTGACCTGTTGTGATAGTGCCTTTCTTGTAGCAAGTACTCAATAATTTGTTCAGTTAGGCTTTTCTGGACCATTATCCCCGGTCTTCTGAGGAGGTCTGAAGGGATAGTATTCACTTTGGATGAAGGGACAGGATATTGCTCCTGGGATGATGTGATTTGATGATATTTGCACTAGATTCTAAACTCTACTTTAAACTGGAGCAACTGAATAAGAGAAAAACCAAGGATGGTTCAATGTTAAAAGAAACCAAAAGCAGTATTTTCTGACTGATGCCTCTTCTCTTTCTTCTCTTTATTTTCATTCTTCTCCTCCTTCTCCTTCTTCTTCTTTTCCCTTGAAGGAAGCTTCATACTTGCTGATTACCAAGCCCAACTCTTACCAATTCTTTTCCTTCATTATTTTTTCTCCCCACACTGAACCTTCTGTGTGAATTAACCATCAGGTAGGAATGGTCAACGTAAAGGGCATCTGTCCTTACAACTTTGCATGGGTCCTCTGTGTCATCGAGGGCACGAGGCATTGGAGGTGGGGGTGGGAGTCTCCTCCAGAGCCACCTGGCCCTTAGGAAGGCTGAAAAGCAGAGATCTCATATGGAGAGCTGAGCTGACACATATTTGCCCAGAGGACATTAGAGCCTGTGGTTAATCCTAACAAATGCTTAGAAAGAGAAGGAAACCCATGTGTTGGAGAAAAAGAAGGAAGGTGGTGCCCACTGTTTGCCTGTTTCCCCTCTCTCTTCTCTCTCCCACCTCACCTCCTATCCTCTCTATCATAATTATATTTCATCTCATTTATTTATGTTACCAGAAGAATTATTGGGTTCCTTGGTTTTTCTCTTTATCAGTGGGCTGGGAACTCTTCCAAAATTAAAAGCAGATCCCATCAGCGGCTCCCCTGTAGCCTACCAGTTTCTCAAATGCTGTCCACCTGGTCTTGACCCAGTCAACTAAGATAACTTGGAAGCTTTGGCTGGCTCAACCACCTGTCACTTTATTTTCATTTTGTTTTCATTTCCATTTGAATTCTGAGTGATCCTATGGGAAGGTGGAAATCACAGAAAAGGTTTAGAGGCTGCAATTCTAGGGCATAGCTTGTCAAGAGTTTGTATTATCCAAAATATAGCTTTCTACGCCTGTTTTTCTGTTGAATCTGTTGCCCTGATTATAATTTCTATTATATTTGTGGTTATTTTTATAAGAATAGAGTCCATTTGCTATGTCTATTTGAGTACTTTTTTTCTATTTTCCCCACATGGATGCAGTACCAACCTGTTAATGAAATATCTTTTTATTATATTATTAATATGTAATTCTACTGTAGACCAAAAATATAAAAACAAATTTGCTCATTTTAAAGATATAAAGAACTAGTGAGTAAAAGATTAAGAGTTGAAGGAAAAGACAGAAGAGCAGTGGTTAACTATGTTGAGTTAGAAATCTAAGAGTAGCCTTACCTATTTTTTAACCAGTGCTTGCCAATCATACCATAGTTGGGATTATATAGTCTTGGCTCCTTCATGCTTATGTTCTATAATTTTTGTTTGTCTGTTTGTTTTTCTTTGATGTAATTGAGGTTGCACATCATGCTATTTTTGGCGATGCCTGATTTTATTATATTGTACTTTTATCAGTCATTTCCTTTAGAAGGATGGGGGGAAAAGTTTTATTTCTTTTTTTAATTTAAAATTTGTTTAATGCACTGGAAATAAAATTGGACACATTTCACTGTTCAAAAATTCAAAAACAAAACAGAACAAACACCACAAAGAAAAAACCAGCAACCAAATAAGCAACAGGAGAAAAAAAAAAAGCTATGAGAAAAATCATCTAGTCCTACTGAATTCCCATACAAAATCCATCTCACACAAAAGAAAAACATCATCAAATAAGAAAGATAAGTCCTAAAAGTGACCATGCTGAAAATATAAAAGAAACCTGGGCTCAGTGGGGATGGGGAAAATGAGGCATTCCTTTGAGATCTGAGATCTTACCATTGTCCCAGTGAATGCCAAAAGAGTTAAATGTGGGAGAGACCATGATGGGGGAAATAAACCCAGCATTTCTGAAACTCTCTCTCACCATTTATCCTATGCTCGGGCTCCATTTTGAGGGGGGAAAAAAGATGTGCTATGATTGAAAAATTGGCTTGTAGAGAGGTGTGTGTACAGTACACAGGTGCACCCAGTTCGGTCCTCCACCCACGTACTACCTCACGTGTTTCTTTTCCCCGTGAGGATTGCAGGGGGGAGACCCACAATGTAGGAGACCGTAAGTGACCCGCTAGAACATCAGCTAGTGCTAAAGAACCTCTTGACTCCAAGTCGACCCTCCTTCTTCAGCATTCCCGATACCAACAGAACCAGTTAACCCATACAAATGCACAGTGAGAGGAACGACAGAGATCATTTGCCTAGCCAAGTGGTTATATCATTTGTTTCACGTTTGCTGGGTTTTTCTGGTTTTGTTTTGTTTTGGAGTAGGGGTGGGAGTGGATGTAACTTCACAATCCTAATACAGTAATTGTTTTGCATCTTCCATGTTTTATGCAAAAACAGACATTTGAATCAATAACTAATTGTGCCCTAGACTGAAAGTTAATGTTTAGGAGAGGAAAAAAATTGTTGGAATTTTTTCTACATTTTTTTGTGAAGAATCTTTTTTGGAAAGGAAGGATACATATTTTTGTTGTGTAATATTTTCTATTTTTGAATGCATTTTATTGGTACAAGACTGTTTTTTTGGTGAAGACATTATTTAAAAAAAAAAAAAGAAAAAAACTAATCGAAAAGTTTGCCCTTAAGGATATGCTGCAGTTTTGAGGTTAAAAAAAAAAAAAATAACTGATTCAAGATGCGTGTTAAAAGTTGGGATTATATTGTTGTTTTTTGTAATTGTTACAAGAAGAAGTTTGTACCCACTGCTGTTTATTTTGTTTCAGATGAGTAAGTAAAGGGATTGTTCTTGTTTTATTCTTTTTTTAGAGAAAAAAAAAAGCTATTTATGAAATGTCAAAAACACTGGACTGTGAGTTTAAGTGTGGAAGCATTTTACCACCCTGTGTCTTCGACCAATTATGGGAAACCCCTTTTCTCTTTCCCCCCGCCTTAGCCTTGCCAAATGAGAAAAAATATAACAGCTGTCAGATGATGAAAGCCACTGAAGCCCTGCTTTAATTTTTACGGTTCGAAAAAGTCAGAAAACCAAAGTTCAATTTGTTTCTGAAATCCCACTGTCTGTAGCCCTTTTTTGTATGACACAGCCAGCCGGCTCTGCCTCTCCGTCTTGGATCATTGCCTTCTTAAGGACTGGGGGCCAACTGTGATGCAAAGAGAAGCATGAAGGTGGTGGGCCTGGGGGCTGAGGTCTCATGAAGTCCATGTGAGTGGGACCTCAGCCTCTCGGTGGGCAACCACGCTTCCCCAGCCTGTGGCCAGGCTGCTCAGAGGGCGCAGCGCTCTCCCTGCCGGAGGAGAGAGCCCGATGCCTCCACTCTCAGCTTCTGAGACCTTCTGTGACCATCGCTCTCCAGAATGGCTTCGCCTTTCTCAGCAGCCCACGTTCCATGGACGGGCTGGAAGAGGGAGGATCCAGTTGAAAGAAATGGGGAAGGTAGGGCAAGGGACCATCGAGCACAAGGGATCTTGTCTGCCTCATCTTTGATTCTGTGGATTGTCCATCCATCTGCTCACTGTGAAGACGGAGAGGCAGAGTGCCCTAAGGCTGTCCAATAGCTTTCCATATTTTTTCAACATTGAAAAAATAATTTTTAAAAACTGTGATTTTTTTTTTTTAAAAAAATCATTTGGCTGGAGGGAAGGGAAAAGGGAAACACCAAAAGCTGTAACATGATTAACTGGAGATATTTAACTGGGGGCACTTTCTAGACCAAGACAAATGAATTCCGTTCTGGACCCTAAAGCAGCCAAATCTTGAGACTGTCAATGACAGAAAGCTGAAGAGAGGCCTCCACTTCCTCCTTTCTCCTTTCTTCTCTCTGTCTCAGAACTCTCTCTGTTCTCCTTTTCCAACTTCCCCTGGACTACTGCCCCGGTGGCCCTCAGACTCCCATTTCGTGTGTGTGTGTGTGTGTGTGTGTGAGCGCATGCACGTGCACACACACACTTGGAAAATACCATTTTTCTTAAGGATTGTGGGACCGAATAAAATCATGTGCCTTCATTTTTTTCCTTTTATAGTTAGATGAACCTCTTCCTTTTTACAGTGCTTAAAAAAAATAGGGGAGGTTGAAGTGTTAGTGGAGGACTTGGGCATCGTTTGAGAAGTGATTTTTATTGAACACATTCCCCCTATTAACACAGACACGCCAACCCCTTCGTGATGCTCCTTGGACATTTAGAGCATTACCTAGCCAGATACACGACAGCCTGAACCCATTTGACTTTAGAGCAATTCCTGAAAAGTCTATTTCGTACGCTTCTTTCATTTTTATCAAAAATGAGGTGAACAACGGCAAGCGGCCTTGTTCTCCGGATTTGGTGCTTCTGAGTGTGGCATGGGATGGGCATGGGGGTGGGGGAGTGGGTGTGTTTCGATAAAGGGTGCATTCCTATAGCTCTCTGGTGCTGAAGGGCCTCAAGTTCCTTCCAGAGACTTGCATTTGACACACTTTAAGTACACACAAATGAATGGTATCACATGCAATATTTTAATGGAGCAACGGGAGAGGCTCTTTGAAACGGGGTTTTGCATCTTTTTGTAACATTTTGATTTCTCTGGTGCCTTATTCCTACTTGATGCTGGCACTCACATACCCACAGGAAGGGACACGGAAGTCAGCCTGGGGAGTGGGGACGCTCCAGCAATGCTGGGGCGTGCGGGCGCGGGGGGCGGTGGGGGGTTGGTGTCAGGTGGCGGGGAAGGGACTAGATGGCATCTCTTAGCTGAAGCCAAGAAGGAACTGCACAAACCCATACAAAGTGAACAATTCCGACCTGCAAACACACCGCAACCCCATTCTTCCTCATCTGAGCTTTCCTTCCTTCTTCCTCTTTGATCTCCGCCTTCTCGTAAAGGTGCTGCTGCTGCTGCTGCTAGGTGCCCGGAGTCCAGAATGCCCAGTAATCACTCAGGCACAAGCCTGGCACTGCCACGTCAGCCCCCGGCATGACCAAACCCAGGTTTCTCTTGCTTGGGGCTGAGAACTGTCAGATTTTTCTCATCAAAAATGTTTTCCAAGGAATCAGTGGATTACAGTTATTCTGCATTGAAAATGCACTTTAAAAAATAAATAAAAGCTCCAGACTGTTTAAAATGTACAGAGGGAGCAGGGGAAAGATAAACGTGCTAGTGTCTGAACCCAGTTCAGTTTATCTCCAGTTGAAACAATATACACTATATTATGTATAAATGTATACACACTTCCTATATATATCCATATATATATAGTGTATATATTATACATGTATAGGTGTGTATATGTGCATATACACACACATGCACATAACAAAATCAGATGCTCATTATAAATCCAGATGCTCATTACAGATGCTACACGAACAGCAGCAGAGGAAACAAGGTTGGACTCTTGCAACAGATCACAAAAAATAAAAACAGCCACTTGCAGTGATTTTGGTTACTTCTGTATGTTCACAAGGAACGGATTGTAACAAAGAAAAAAAAGGAACAGTGTTAGCGAAAGAGGAAAAAATGGGCGAAACCATCTTGATCCAATGGGAATGCAGTAATGTTCTATACCATTTCATCTGTTATTTCTTTCAGTCATGTTGATTTGATTTCAGTTTTTGGCCATTTAAAAAAAATTCTTTAGACTCAAGTGACCCACAACAAACTGAATAAAACTACAGTGAAAGCCCTTTTCAATGGAAGATGTCAGAAATCTCAAAACCCTTGGCCTGGCTCAGAACTACCATGTGCAAATCAGTACTCTCTTAATGTTTGAAATAAAAACTGAAAAAAAAAAAAACTTTTTTGAAGCACCTTAAATGTGGCCATCCATTCGAAGAGTGGGTGCCACTTTTTTCTTTGAGCACCTTATTGACGTGTTTTGCTATCTGCTGTCTTTCTGTTACCTGTTGGCTGAATGGCTAGCTGTTAACATACGCATGTGCGCAGACCAGATGTCTGAGCATGTGTGTTCTCAATGAAGTTTACTGTGGTGACTGCTGAAAGGTGAACCCATTTCCTGATTTTCCCGCCACAGTGTTGTGATAAGATTCAAAGAAACCCTATTCCCTGCACAG